TTATTGTTAATTGTTATTGGTTTATTGTATGTGGTTATTGTTCGGGACGAACAATATTAAGGACGGGGCAGTGATGCGTCATCGAGATCATGTGATTCTCACGCTCTCTACTTTCTAGAATTATCCTGTACTTTGGCGAATGTTCTAGTTCTCACTAGATATAGGGTAGGCGGGTATATATATAAGAGGGGACAACGTGACGCGGTAAGGTAATGTGTGCGAAGATAGTGAGTAACTGATCTGCAGTCAGAAGTATTATTGAGCACGTTCGTCGTTATAGCGTTTGTTTAGCGCGATTGTTGAAGTTGAGTGTATCGTTAAAGTTGTATTCAGAAAGAATAAACCAGTTTTTATTAAGAAAGAACTTGTGTCACTTAAGTTTCGTCGGAACGAAGTTACGGAAAATCAATTAACAAACGGAGACGTAACAGTATATACAGCCTGTAAAACTGAGCTTGCATCTATTGTTTTTTTAGGCTTAATAAGTGTGTGAGGGGATTTATCCAAAAATGATTTACAACTCTTTCTTCATCACAATAATTTATTTTGTTAGAATGCAAGTACACAAAAAAAAAATCAGCGAAAAAAAGGAAACTTGAAGAATAAAACATAATTCGGAAATATTAAGTTCAATGACGACCAAAGGTCTTGACTCAAAATTCTTTTCCGTGAATACTTTACAGCTGCTCTGATAAAGAAATATAACAGTAGGGAATAATTTCTTGCTGATGGAACTGAATAGAAACAAAATATTAAATATATTTATCATGTCATAGAAATGAAGTTATAACAAAAACATCTAATATTATTTGCCCATAACTTGCATGGTTATTTGTAAAAGCCAGAACTTACATCATGCCTAATTAGAACAGTTTTAGACAAAGGCAAAAAATACACAGATCAGTTGGTTCTGCACAAAGGACCTGGAAAAAAAATAAGGAACAAGGAGAAAATCAGTGATTAATTATAAACAAATATATATAAAATACCAAAAACATTTTCTTCCCACAATCATGTATCTTCCTGTATTCCCTGATCTTAAATCTAAATAAGAATATTTTTTGTTTCAAAATTGTATATCGATCAACCTGCAATAAACAACAAGACAGCTAGGAGACTTTGTATAACTCTAGTGCCAATTTTAAATCACAATAAAAGACTTGCTTTCCGTAACATATGTTGTGAAGATATAAGGTACAGATGCTGATAACTCAAAACCACAATATACTAAAGGGTAGCCAAAAATATTTAGAGAATTTGAACAGATTATCCTCAAGAAATGTATTAATCTGTGCAACAGGCTGACATTAAGCTCGGTGTCTCAGAAACTGCAAAAAAAGAAACAGTGTCTACAATATCAACTGCATTTGTACAGCCACTAATACCAGGATATATGTTTTTAAGAGACAAGAAAAGTAGTTCAACAGCTTTATCAGAAAATGCTGTAACCATAGGTAATTCATATCATATACTTTTCCAGAAACTAGAAAAAAAAAAAAAAGAAATAATAAAACACAAACTTGTACATGCTGTTCAAAAATTGTAAGTTAAATAAACAAGGAATTAAAACAATAAATGCCTGACAATTTGAGAACCTCACAGCTCACAAATTAATATGAACAAAATACTTCATAAAAGTACCCCAGAACTGTGTTACATTAATGTAAGCCAGCCAATAGCTTTCTAACAGTACTGTGTAACACCAACATAAGCCAATCAAGACCTTTCTACCAGAAATGTGTTACAACAATATAAGCCAATCAAGAGCTTTCTAAACGAACTGTGCTACACCAACATAAGCCAATCATGAGCTTTCTACCAGAAATGTGTTACACAAACATAAGCCAATCAAAAAGCTTTCTACCAGAACTGTGTTACTAAACATAAGCCTATAAAAAGCTTTCTACCAGAACTGTGTTACATAAACACAAGCCTATAAAAAGCTTTCTACCAGAACTGTGTTACATTATCCTATAACAGTCACGATTTTTCAAATAGAACTGAGTTACACCACCATATACCAGCCAATAGCTTTCTAACAGAATTGTGTTACACCAACACACACAGCACTACTGGATCTTCTTTATGGACTGGTATCAACCCAAACAAGCACAGTGAAATACTGTAATTATCAGAGGCAGTAACAGTCTGCTGAAGTTAAGATAGAGAAAATAAAAATAAAACTGAGAGAACATTTTACTAAATTAAATTGTATAGTCACACGAGAGTTCAATTTACCTGATGAGCACAGAGATTACAGTTCTTCATATATGCCAGTCTCTAGAGACAAAGACCTATAAAATAAATAAAGTTGTTTGATCTATATGACCAGGTGAGTTTAGATACAATTACAATTCCAAAAAAAAACATCAAAAAACATGTAATTCTTAATGATAAATTTCATTTGAAAACGTGTGTATATATTTATTTGTCAATGTATCTATCCATTAACAGCTTTCACGTTACAGGTTAAATACTCGTAACATTTAGTGTCCTCATAGTTTAAAGCAAACTTCTCATAGGTGTCTGAAACAGAAAATGAAGCAACATTAAAATCCAGAGAGTTCTTAATATTCCAAAGTGAATAGCATTTTTATTACAAAAGACTTTATTACTGGACACAAAAAAAATCATTTATAGAAAAAATTATGTTGTGATGGAGGAGGAACTCAATTTTTTCCTTTGAACTTCTAATCAGAGATTAAATGTATGTAAGGCCTCAAAACAAAATAATTAACCTCCATTCAATGCACATGGAAAATGAATGAGCATCTGGAAAGTGACACAGATTACAATGCCTATGCCCCTCCTGGGAAGACCCTAACAATAAATGCCAGATTTGGTGACAGTTATTCCAATAGTTCCCCAGTTAAAAACAGCCACAAAGTCTTGTAAAATAATAATTTACATTCTTCATAATACAGAAATATCAGTAGCCATGTAGAATAAATTACCTCGAATTAATAACACATTCATGAAAATAATATCTATTTCTTACCAATCTTTCTCTTCTTATTCAATTATTATTTGGTTTAGGCACAACAGAACTAACTTCATATTACAAAGTAACAGATAAGATATGTTTGTGATTTCATAAGGTTGATGGTCAGAATATTTCGTGAAATGTGTTCTTTGTAACTTATCAAGTTCTTTATGCAGAGACACATAATATAATCTTTGTCTTTCTGTATGAAAGAATTTATCCAATAATAAACACAGGTAGCTAGTGGTAAATGTAATTACAAAATAAATTAACATGCTGATGATTATAAATATTGTTTCCTGGTTACGGTTAATAAAGATTCCTAAATTCATTGATGTTACATTACTTCCTTGGTGGTAACATTTATCAAGAGTGGCTAATAATCACCCAAAAGACAACAAAGAAAAACTTTAACAAGTTCTTACTGCATGTATAATACATGCTGAAATACCCGTCAACTGATGGGGAATGTTTAAACTTAGTTAAAGCAATGTAAGTTTTTAACAGCAATCATATATTTCAAAGTAATAACTTGAAAATAAACTTTATCTCAAAATTTTAAAATTATAACAAAACTTCTTCATAAATAACATTTGCAGTTTGCTTTCCATCTACCAACAAGTAAAGATTTTACAATGATCCCACCCTTGAACACCCTACTTCTCACTGACCATGAGAAAAGCATGGTTGCTTGAGGAACAATCCAGCAACTTTTATACTTTAACCTTGAATCCCTTTAGAATATTCAACACTGTCTAAAGCGTCAACCTGCCAAGACTGTTTGAGCTTGACTCAATAGGCTGGGAGTAATTAACTAACAGGCTTTACA